ACACACACACACACACATACACAAACGCTTGTTCGCATATGCTTTTATGTTGGTGGACTCCGAAACCATTAAAGCGCAATTGCTATTGTCGGTATTACAACATAGAGCAATTTTATTTTTTACTGCAAGCAACAGTTGTCATTACTTTTTGGTACGATCGGATGGTAAGTTGAATCGTTCGCTTCGCTGTTAAGCTTATGTGTTGCAAATTTTCATCGAATTATTAATATGATAACAAATGACAACAACCACATGTTCAAATATAAAGGCACAGCAATACGGCGAACGGCATTGGTAATGGCAATGGTAAAGGTAATAACACTAAGCTTTAGCCAACGTAGTCAATGAATGGTATTCAAAATAGCTGTACTTTGCATGTAAATCATGTGAATTTGTTTTTTTTTTTTGTTTTTTTTTTGTATAAGGAAAAAATGTGCGTGGCGGTAGTCGTATGCCAAACAAAGTAGCTGCTTATGACTATGCCATGGTGTTTGTTTTAAGTTTTCGTTAACTACCATAAGTGGGAAAGTTTACTTTTTCGGATTAGTTATGAAAATGGAAAAGATATAAAAAAAAAAAAAAATGAGAAGAAAAACAAAAAAACGACTGAAATATTTATGAGTTCATTCAAGTGGGAAATTGCCGGTAATTAATATACGTATGTAAACAAAAATGTACTTATTGTCGATACAAAAAGATATTCATCTTCTTTAGACTTATGCTGAGGTAAATTGGCAGCATCAGGAGGTGTTTTACCGTCACAGTCAGTTAGTTGTAAGAGAGTTGTAAAGAAGTTTAAGTTGCCTTCTAAAGCAAATTTGTATCGACATTTGATCGATTAAGTTCAATGTAAAAGCACAAAAACATGTAGTTCTCTAAAAATGTCTTGAACTGGATATGTTATCTACCAAACATTCCTATCAAAAGTGTTTGCGAACAGAGTTTGCAAAGGCTATTGGAAACTTACAAATCACCCATTCTCAAATATTTAAAGGCCGTTGCCATGATTCAGAAGTAATGATATTAGTTATAATGTAAGTATCAATGAAAGAAGGCTGGGAAGGGCTTTT